GGTGGGATGGGTGGGAATTGGCCCTAAAAAGCCCATATAGGGAGTGGTTAACAAACGTATGTAGGTATTTAAACAGAAATCCAGGACACCATATATCAAGTTACCTTCTTCCATCGTCTTGGCAGTTTTACGCAACAAAGGTTTCTTCGGTCTTGACTGTTCTTCTTCTTTTGCCTGCGAACAGATTATAAGTTCTCCAAAATTAACGTTAGTCTTTATTTTTTGGTGGGACTTAGTAGCACTCTGGCAAAGGCACACACAGTTACTGTATCTCCACGGTGTTTCACTAGGGCATGCCTAACCTTAGCTTGTTCGTCCTCTCTCCACTGTTGCAGTCGATAGTGTTCTAACAGTTTCACCTCTTCTTCTAGTTCTTTGTTCTGTTCTTCCAAGGCCTCGATCTTTTGGCGGGAACGCGTAGAAGCCGCTGACCAGCGTGATTCGCGTCGCTTAAGTTCTTCTTGCAACTCCGTTACCTGTTGAGAGGGGTACGGCGGTTTAAAATGGACAATTTGTGTCAACGTTGTTCAACCCATGAAAAAATTCGGCGAGGGAACATTTGGCTTATTTCAGTCTATTTTCGTCAAATTAAACAGCTTCATTTATTTCACGTTTACTGAACAAAAAATCAACCATACCTTACAAAAAAAAAATATGAAGGTGTAGTCTGATCGTCCGGGTGAGTGCAGTCCTGTGATGGACTGTTGTCGGTGGTAGTGACTGACGTTTCGACAACCTGTGCGGAAGTCATCATCAGAGTCAGATTCGACAACCTGTGCGGAAGTCATCATCAGAGTCAGACTCTGATGATGACTTCCGCACTGGTTGTCGAAACGTCAGTCACTACCACCGACAACAGTCCTTCTCAGGACTACACTCACCGAACGATCAGACTACACCTTCACATGTTACCCCCGGCTTCAAGCCATTTACCGCAAAAAAAAAATACATTGCTTTGAAAGTTTTGAAAACAAAAATGTTACCACTTTTTGCTCAAGGCCGCAAACACAAATCTTATTTTTACAGAATGACGTTTTTATAAGTTACCTGTTCTCGTAAACTCTCGATCTCTTCGCGTTCTTTCTTGTCCGGCATTGAACGGGCAGCTTTCTGATACTTTTCAAACACTCGTCTTTCACGGCTAAAATTCGTAAGTTTGGAAGATTAACTTTGAGGCATCTTGGTTTGAAGACACTCAGCAATTAAGGTATAATAGGTGCTACATAAACCTGACTGATAATCCAAACTTGACGGAAAGTACATGTACGAGTCATGTGATCAATCAGTAAATTAATAAACATTCCTTCACTTGGCTTATGAATAGTATAGAGGCTGAAAGCAAGCGAAGCAGAAAAGCAAAGTGAGAGAAAGTACATGGAAATTCCCTTGCACTGACTTGGTTTTAACCTGACCTAAAACTACATTTAGCTTCAATAACCATTGACAAGCAAACGAAGGGGCAAGCTAGCGAGAATTTTGTGTTTTATCCTGTTATTGGCTTTCTCGGGTCGGGTCACTCGACCCTAGACTCCCTCCTTTTTCGGTTCGAGGGACCAAACCCGACCCAGACCTCCCCCATTATTTCACTCCGCAACTATCGCAATGTTTACTATCACGCTTTGCTTTCCTAACTGAGCGCCTGGAAAATGCTAGTCATTAACACAGACCGTAGCTTACGCATCTCCTCCTCCCTAAACTGCTCTAATCGCTCAAGTTCTTCTGTCTTCTGTTTCTCGAACGCAGCTATTTCCTTTTGCAATTTTTTCAAGCCCTGTAAAATATGAGACTGTTTTAACAGCATGTAAAGGAAACAAATACCAAAACTAAGTGAGCGGTTTAGAGTCAGGAAAAAGTCATTGGCTGTAATCCTCATATAGAGTTTGTCATTTGACATCATGGAAACTATGAGAAAATTGTTTTCTACCCGCCATACTCTAAGGGCCGGTTATTTTACACGAGGTCTAACCAAAAAAAAAACGGTTTTACACAATCAGTGGGCCTCAGGGTTTCTCTTTACAAGGATTGATTTAATTAAATAAATTTTCATCCATTATTAACTTTCGGCCTTCTTGACACTGCTCACAAAAATAAATGTTCAGGTGAAAGGTTCGTTCAAATTGAAGATAGCTTAAAACGCGGTTTTGTTGGACAAAGGCTTAAATTTTTTTTAATAAGCAGCCCTCACGCTTCCACTTAGACTCACGTCTCTCGCTTAAACAAAGGCAATGTAATTCGCATTAAAACTCGTATGGAAACCATACAGTGGCGTTCGCCTTGTAAGTTACGCAACACAATTTTTCCCTTACCTCTTCTCGTTCTCTTCTAATTTTGGCCAGAGCTGCGTTTTCAGTTCTGAACTTATCAATCTCGGTTTCCAATTCCTTGAGCTTCTCCCTGACTGCAATACTCTGAACCGTGTCTATGTGCTCTTCCGTGTTACCTTTGTCAGACGGGTTCTTAGAAGCATCAGTTGTGGCTTGTTTGCTGACAGCCTGCTTTAGTAAGATAATAAAATAGTAAAGTTGATCTTTGAGTTCTTCTCGCGACGAGTTATCTGTAAGTCAGCAGCATAGCATCTGGGAATTAAAAGCTTTACACTCATACAGTAAGGGAACTTGTTACTGACACTACTTTACTGGGGAATTTAAACAAACCACGACGGCGACGGCAACGGCAACGAGAACGTGGAAAAACAATAGATCTAATTGGCAGAACAATAGCTCAGCACGTGCGTTTTAAAACTTTGTACATTTCTTAGCCGTCCTTTGCAANTCCGTGGCGTTGCCGTGGTGACTGCTTAAGTTCACTACTAACTACAGGGAGGGAGCGGGAGCAGACCGAATGAAGCGTGTGTATTTCAAATTCTGTTAAGAGTTTTGAGGTTCAGTGTACTAATCTTCAAGCATTCGTATCGACAATAGTTAGTGCATTACATCTTGCATAGAATGCTATAAGCTATGATATTTATTTCATCGATCAATGGTATCTTCGAAGTCGTTAATGTAAAATATTTAGACAGGGTGTATATTGAAAAGTTTACATCACCAGGACGCACTTAACGCAGCGAAAATCCCCTTCGTGCGACATACGAAACTTTATGTTCAATCTTTGTTGTTGCGATAGATGATTGTTACCAAAAGAAGTCGTTCAAATCAACTGCAAGTGGATAACTCAGCTATGAAATAAATCGCAGTTGTGGTATTGATTTGGAAGCTGTGCACACATTGCGGTTGGTCTCAAAGACCCGTCGACACGAATGATCGTTTTATGAGGTAAGGCCTTGAATGTTACAAATTCTTTCAAGGATCATAGAAAGGGCATTTTCTCATGTTCATGACACGAATTACCACTGAAGTACTTACAGCAGCTTTCTGCTTTGGCTTCAACTGTGGAAACAGCTTAGTAACAAGCGCTGATGTTGGTGGAGTCGACGCAGCCAGCACCTCATCATCCATTACTTCTGTTCCTTTGCTATTTTGAGGCTGGCCCACCTTTCGAGGTACAGGCGGAGTGGATGTTACCAGTGGGAAGATGTCACTGATTGTCACATCACTGTCATCTGCATCATCATCGTCATCGTCGCCGGAGTCGACTTCAACTTTCTTCTCCATCTTCTCAATGTTTGTACCTGCCTGTTTCTTTATTGCAGCCCACGTGTCCGCGTCATTAAACTCGTCGTCACTTTCAGTCGAGGGAGGATTAACGTAAACAGGGGCAAGGACTGTAGAGAAATGGAAAAGTCACAAGTGAGTGACCTAGTCTCGTAATTTTCAAATAAACAAATGATCCTCGCGTGTGAGCTGTTTCAAATTATGGAATCAGATTCCTATAAAGGAAGGACGAACCCTACAGCATCGCTCAAAATAAGTTGAAAGTAAATAAATAAATATGCTTTATTAAATTCTCCTATTGAGGCTTTTCAGAATAGATAATTAACTATATTAGTGCTCTTTATAAATATTCTTTTAAACTAATTTACAACTTGGAAAAGATTCAAGAGTCTCGATTAGAAACAGTCTCGATTCTTGAAACTTTCGAGAATCGAGACGCCGGAAGAACTTTTCGAGTATCTCGTTCAGCAGTTTCGAAGAAACGATTGAATTCTCGCACACAAAACAACAGCGTGGACAAAGCGCTTGACACGCGGCCTCCCTCCTCAGTTACTAGTAGCGTCAAAAAAGTCTTTGGGAGGCACAAGTTCGAATCCTGTCGAAGCCTAAATTATTTCAGGCTTCTTTCGCGCAAATCCTCTAATTCCAGCTCACCTGCAAGAATCATTTCTTTATTTGTCTTTCATCCACTCGTCAAATTATTTCTTATTTATTTCACTATGATCAGTTTGACGTGTTTTCCTTGGCTAAAAAGAGAAAAAATCTTAATTTTTTACCCCTCCGTTGGTCTCCAGCTGCTTTTATCCTTTCGTTTTGACCGCAATCAAGTTCCAAGGCACTGTCTAAACTGATCTCCTGTAGAGTCACATCACTATCTCCATCTACACTCTCTGTTATGGAATATGAAATAGGGTAACATCAGGATCTTGTTTCCTGTCGTGACACAAGGTTACTACCCTTCATTTTGTGTCACTGACAACATTTTTTTTTTTCATTTTATTGCATTACACACAACTGTTTACATAACTTTCATTACAATACTCAACTACTGCACTGAACATAATAAAAAGGACCCACGGTATAACACAGCTCATTCGCACACTCACGAACAAGTTTACATAACAAAGTCGCACCTGTTTGAGCCCGACTTATTCTAAATTATTCAACTACCTCTAGTATTTATATTGCCCACTTCTTCCTAAATATATCTAAATTATTATTTTTGGCACAGACATATTTTTCAGTCTCGTACTTTAATTTGACTTTTGATTGAAAACCACGTATACTTGGAAGTTCTTTATTCCTTCTACACGCCCATAGATAAATTTTTCCTATAAGTAACAGATAGTTAAGTAAGGGAAGTTCTGGAGTTCAAAGACCGATTAATATATCCTTCAAATTAAGATGTATCTGCTGTTTTGTCCAAGATAAGTAATATAATTCAAAATCTTTCCAGAAAGATATTGAATAAGAGCAATCCCTATAAAAGAAATGCTGCATTGTTTCTGATTCACGTTTGCAGAAAGAACATAGATCATCTACAATATACCCGATTTTGTGTAATTTTGAATGCGTGTAAAGTTTGAACTGGAAAGCCTTAACACATGGCTCAAAAGCAACTGAATGGGGAAGAGAAAAGGCTTTTTTCAGTGCCTCACCGGTTAAATTAAATTCACACTTCAATTTTCTCGTGTTATTTGGAAAGCAAGCCTTTTACGGACAAAAAGAGAGTTATAGTCTTTTGATTTCTTTTTAGTTTCATCAAAAAGGCCGCAGTAAATTTTGAAAGATGGATTTAGGACTATAATCTGGATAACGATAGACATTCCTTAGATCAAGCGGTACAGTGGCGAATACCGGTCCATTCTACAAAATTCGTCTTATGTAAGTGTTCTGCGATTAGTTCATAAGAATGTTGTTGAGATCAAAACGCAGGTCTCCCACTGTCTGAATTCCATAATTAAAGAACCTTTTATAAAAGACTGGTTTGTTGTTTATTCTTATTTTCTGGTTATTCCAAATTCGGTAAAGCCAATTAGTTTCAACCGCATTATCTTTCCGAAATTCAGACCACCATTTCAATGACTCCATGTAGAATTAAGAACTGATAGTTAAGTCTTTGACGTTATAGTTACAATTAAAAAGAAACAGACCCGCCTGTTTCTTTTGAAAGATATTCTAAATAATTTTTCCATGCGCCAAAATTATCGCCAAAGATTGTTTTCAGCCAGGCGAGACAGAGAGATTTAATCATACTTTCAATATCAACCATTTTGAAGCCTCCTCCTTCAAAATCATTTATCGCAGATTTTCTAGTTACTTTGCCTTTTCCTTTCCATAAAAAGTTGTAAATCAAATGGTTTATTCTTAAATCATATTTTCAGGGGTAGGTAACAAAGATGCCACGTACACAACCTTCGGTAGAAGCAAAGATTTAACTATAGTCACCTTTCCATAAAGGGATAATCCTCTAGAAGACCAGATATTAATTAGTTTTTTTATCTTGTTAAGTTTTTCCGTGAAGTTCTTCAGATAGAGCAATTTTTTATTATACGAGAAGAAGGTCGCCAGGGCTTTTATGGGATCTTGTGCCCATTTGATTCCAAGTGGTTTCATTTCACTTCCTTTTAAAGATCTTATCCACCAGAGTCCCTCTGTCTTTGAACTAGTTACCTTTAAACCTGAAACTTTTTAAATTTGTCTAACAATTGAAAAAGTTTATAGGCCGACTCTGTATCAGAGAATACCGTCGTAGTATCATCGGTAATAATTTGGTCTCCTGTTTATCGATAACAATCCCTTTTATTTCCTCGTTTTTCCTAATGGCAATTGCTAAAGTCTCCTGCGGGGATCTTTGTCTAAATTTATTCAATAAAAGCGCGCGCTAGGATCCAATACTTACCATTATCACGAAGCTCTCTCACTTGACTACCCACGGGTGGTTGTTCGGGCCCATCATCTGACAGAGTCACTTTACAATCTCCACTACCATAGCCTGTGTCAACAGGGCTCAGAATTCCACCTGCACCTGTGAAAGACGTATCACCGGGAACTGAGCGTCTTAAGGTTTTGTTTGTCACTTAAAAAAAAAAAACAAACAAACAAAAAAACAAACACTCTTTTCTTTTTAACTAGAAATAACACTTGCATTTATAACTCTGTATTGATCCCATCCCTACCTTTGTTTTCGGGCTTGTTAACAGTTCCTTCCTTTGCGTTATTTTTACTGATCAGTGCACTTCCTCCTCTGGCTTTGGCCAACACTTTAACGACCACTGAGGAGTTGGATGAAAAGGAAGCATTTGCCGCCGCTTGTTCAAGGAGCTCAAATTCTTCAAGTTCTTCTTCTTCCAACTAAAAAGGTGCAGCAAAAGTCCAAACTAAGAGAAGGTACTAAATAGAAACTAATTTTTAATGCAATGAAAGTATCGCTATCATAATTGTGATGTCAAGAAAACATTATCAAGAATAATATTCTTGTAAGTAGAACAAGAAGGATGGTAAGTTTAGAGCTCGGTAAAGAAATTGAGATATTTTTCGTCTTGTCACGAGCGTGGGACAAAAAAATAAATTCCGAGTCCATGAAGAATCGATCCTCAGACTTTCAGATTACTCTATGGTGAGCAGAGCATATTACGAAGTTCTATGACACGCGTCTACGTATACTGCATACTGCTAGGATCGCAATGTCGAGAGCGATATATTCTTGCAATCATATATTATTTTATATATCCTTGTTATCATTATCAATTTTATAAACCATTACCATTATGTACATGGAGATGGTCCAGGTTATTTACGATCTTCAATTACATCATACTCGCACAAAAGTATCACATTCGACAAATTCCTATCCTAGCATTCTGCAGGAAGTTTGTTACCATGGACCTAATTAAACGGCCTAGCCTGCCACGTGTTTACTACAGCTCAGAGTTATATTAGAGCTTAGAGGTTACTGATTGGAGGGTTATAGAAAGATGTTTTTTCGTCTAGTCAAGAGCGTGGAACAACCAAAAAAATTCTGAGTCCCCATGAGTAATCGAACCGCACACCTTTCTATATTTCTTTACCGATCTCAAAACTTGCCATCTTTCTTATTCTTTAATAATTGGAAGGTCGTAGGTTCGACTCCTATTTGGTGAACGCGGAGTTCTTTTTTCCGAGTATGCCTGGGTGATACTGAATAACGTCATTATTTACCTTACCAATATCATTGCCATTGTTAAGGTATCAAGGTATACTGTACATGTACAAAAGTGAATGTTTACCTCTTGTTTTTCTTCTAATTCTTTTAGCCTCATTTGGAAAGAGGCATCAATACTGTTACACACAGAATGTGGATCCCTCTCCTCTGGTCCATTGGACGCGACACTGTAAAGCATACGATCAAATGAAGATGACAGTTTGATACAGCACGATTTATGCTACATACAGTGCACCAAGCTGGAACCTGCTTGGTCATCATGGCCAATAGTTTTTATTTAGATAACTAACTTTGCAGCAAAAGTTGACAACTGGTGGTTTGCAACCAATCTCTAGAGACACAGGTAACAATGGTGAAAGGAACAAATGCTGGTGGACGAACAAAAGAAGTTAATGAGATATCTATTGTTTGCGTCCAGCAACATGGCGGCGATGACGTAACGTGAAAACCACCTATTGGACATTAACACACGGATGACAACTAATAACTGCATGTCACATGAACGTGTACACTGTACCTTGTGGGCATCACAGCAGGTCTGGTAACAGTTAGAGAAGCAGGTTGTCCATCTGAGGAAGGTGCTTGGGTTTTTAATGGTTTGGACCCCCTGATCTGCTGTGGCTTCACAGATGTGGTTGAGCCAGATGCTTCTGTCATCACCTGGGGGCTTCTTGAAGCCACCTTGCGAGTCACCTGCATTAAAAGATTTAAAGAAAAGAAACTGATCAATAAATTAAAGTTACTGGGACAAAATTTACCTCTGACCAGAAAGATACTAAGCCATCAACTTGAGGAGAAAAATTTTACAGAAGTCCACACAGATTTACCACAGCCTAGATGCACATATATTGCAAATTTAGTCCTTTTCCATGGGCCTATGAACTCAATCGACAGTTAGTGCACACAGAAAATCTCTAAATTCTTTGATCTTTGACACATCAATCCACAAAATCTGACAAGTCCTTGTGGAGTATTACACTTATCTCATTCCTTTCCCTTGGAAAAAGTGTTAAATTGTTTTTGTTTAACAACAACAAACATATGAAACATATGTGTGAACTGCTATATTGTTTTTGTTTGTATGTATGTATGTTTGTTTGTTTCTTTGTCTGTATGTTTGTTTGTTTCTTTGTCTGTTTTTTTAATAAAAAACCATCATTATCATTGATAGCAAGTCTCACCTTGCTCTGTGCCACAGGACCTCCACTCACTCCACCTGATTTGTTAGCCACTTGAGATGAAGCTGTCACAGGATTCCCAGTCTTCTTTCCTTTTTTCTGTTGTAATGTTGTCAGATGAACAGCAGGTTCTTTGGTTTTCATCACAACCTTAGCTGAAGCTGACTTTCCTTTAAATCGGGCAAGTCCTTGCCCTTTTCTCAGAAATGTTCTTTGGGGTTTATGAGTTGTGCTTTGAGCTTTTGTTGCTCGTTCAGAAGCCTTAATCAAAACAAATTGATATAATCAACCAATTTCTGAATGTTGCCAATTGCTAAGTTGCATAATTAATTATGACTTGCAAATTAAATGGAAAAAGGCAACAGTTATGCAGTTGTAATGTTGTAGTTCAATTCTATCCTTGGTTCAAATTTTATTTTCCTTTGTTCTTGGTCATGTTAATGTATGATAATGAGTTTGAAACAAAGGAAAATAAAATTTGAACCAAGGATAAAATTGAACTACAACAGTAACACTAACCTCTGCATCAAGTTTGAGTTGCTCTTCTAAAAGTTCTTCAAATGTCTTAGCCCGAGATGATCCTCCTGCAAAAAACAAAAACAAAAATTGAAATCCAAAAAGAATTTTTCAAAAGAGAAAGCAGTCTTCATTGATCCATAATTTTTTTTTTTTTTTAATTACAATGGGACAGTCTTGACCCCTTGTGCACTAATAACTTTACAATTCAACAGCACTGGTGGATTCAAATGGAGGGTCCAGCGGGGCCTGGACCCCCCCCACCCACATCACCCCTGTGGGTCATTTTGTACTACCTGCCTGACACAAAGAATATTCTTAAAGATGAAACATAGACCAGAGACTGCAGTAGATAATGTAAATGCACCTTGAAACAAAAAACAAGGTGTCTTAAGCATGAAATATTTTTAAAAAAACTTTGTGGCCTTTGTTTGGATCATGCTCATTTGTTCGACTATTTTTCTAAAACTTTAATTTTCTTTTGAACTTCACAACTTATATCTATACCTGGTTTAATTCCACTATTTTGATAAAATTTTTTCTTTTGAACTTCATAAGTTATACCTATGCCTGGTTTAATTGGTATCTCATCTCCAACTTCAGTCTGACAGTTTTCTTTCATATGTTGTTCATTCTGAAAATAGGCAAAAAAGAACACATCATTCATTCATTCTTGCTTATTAAATAAAAAGTAAGGAACAGCGTCATAGGTTCATGAGCATTCATTTTGTGCTAAATCAAATGCAATAAACAAATGCTATTGTCATATTGATATCTCTCCATATAGTTCTGTCGATTCTTATCAAAGGCAGTGCTTTCAATAAGACCCGGCACATGCTGGAGCTCCAGCAGGTATTCTGTTGTGAGTCACCAGGTATATTTCACCGCGCTCAAGTCGTGGTCACCATGCTCAAGTTGCACTCAAGTCGATCTCCGGCGGGTGCTGTACTGTGGTAGCCACCTATTTCAAATCTTATCGAAAGCACTGTGAAGGGGTGGCAAACACTTTGAAGAGGGGAAGCTTGTCATACAAAATAATTAGCCAAGCCCTTACCCCATTTAAGTTTCTAAAATGTCCTTTTTTCAGTTTGCTGGCATTTACAAATTTTCCTTGTAATCAGAACAAGTTTGTCTCTCATCAAATTGTGGCAATGCTTCTTATTAAGCAAGAGGAGCTTCAGAGTAGTTCCTCTTACAAACTACGTCAGTAATTAAGGCAAATTAGCCACAGTAAAGAGTTTCTTGAACTATCATTTCTAGAATTAGCCATTAGTCAGCCTTCTGCTCTGACAAATAAATAAAATAAAATAAATATGTAAATTGAAGCTCCCCCTTAGGGTCTTTTCAGCCACAATGTAGACTAATGAAGTACTTAAAAATCCACACTGGCAGGAGGCAGACCAGTGGGCTATTTACAGAGCACAGCCGAGGATTTGAATTGGGGGCAACCAAGAACAAATCCAGTGAGTGGCAGGGTAGAGGATTTGAACCCGGGACACTGGATTTCAAGTCCAGCACCCTAACCACTCAGCCATGCCACCTCCTCAAAGGGCTAACACTCAAAATTTCAGCTTTAAAAACTCTTGAAAACTCACCGCTTCCTCAGAATCCTGTGATTGAGCCAGTAAGTCTATAACAGTTCTATCCCTTTCATAACTTTCCTCCAATTCTTCCTCAACATCTGACTCCACATTTACAGCCTCTTCTTCATTCTCATCTTCTATCTCATTAAAACCCATGTCAGGCTCTGAATCATAGAGAGGATAAACTCCACTTAAAGTGTCTGCTTCCGAGCGCTCATCCTCTTGAGAATCTGCATCAGCCATTCCTTCTACACCTGCATTATGACTCCACAACCTCTCTAGTTCTGGTGTCATTGCTGAATTTCTTCCATACTGTGCAGTGTCAATTCTTTCAAGGTTCAGTTCTGGACAGTCGCCACTATTTGTTGCAGGATTGTTCTGAAACATATCACCTGGTCTTTGACCAATAACTGGACTCTGAAAATGTTGAGGAATTTCAGTCATCCCAGGGTGGGTAACAGGGTTACTTGCCATTGCTGATCCAGTTGTGGGCTGTTCTGGAATGGGTGTCATCCTGCTACCAGCCACAGGTGGAATAGCTCCAAGGGGGAAACGGTAATTTGATGAGTTCCACATTACAGGATAAACCGTCTCATTCAGATGAGGCAAACTGGCTCGAAGTCTGTCTTTCTCATTCGCAGAAAATTTTGGTTCAGATTCACCAAATTGTTGTGATCCAAGCTGTCTTGTTTGCATCTCCAAAGCAATTTGGTCCATAGCATGGGAGGGTTCTGAAGATGTTGGTGTGGATCTCAGAAAGGCATTTGAGTTATTCCTCACAGGCTCAAAGCCACCATCTTCAAACTGCACTCTTGACCCCCTATCTAAAGGGGCCTGCACTCTCACACTTCCCTGCTGTAGTTGACTTGTGACAGCCAGTGATCTTTCTGCAACAGATTGGGATTGACTCAAAACAGTTCCTGAGTTTGGAGGATACATTGAGGTGCTTGTAGCAGTTTGTCCTTGAAGTTTTCTTTGGGCAGCTAAGATGCTTTGGAGTTTGTTTTGTTCCATCCTAAGCGTCTCCATCTGTTGTTGCTGTTGACGGAACATACTCTCCTGCTGTTGTTGTTGCCACTGCCGTAGCTTCCTAAACTTATCCACAAGTTGTGCTTGATCATGGGGCCTGTGGTTCTGTGCCTGAGTTGTCATATTCCTCACCTTTAAAGGTTGCTGGGATTTTGCTTCTGAAAGTGATAGGAAAGAAAAGCAAAACATAAAAAAGATGCATAGGGATAATTTGAGTGTGTTCCATTAATTGTTCAACCTTAATCCTGTCCTCTGGCTACCTTCATACCATGGCACAGTAAAGGTAAGGGTGGTAGGGGGGGGGGGAGGAGAGAGGCATTCTTCTCGGTGGCTTTGCTTCTACAACACCCGAAATCCTAAAGCGCTCATGGACAAACGTTTACGAAAACCTTTGTCGGAAATTAAACAGTGAAAATGCTCACCGGTGTTACAGAAGAGTCTGCACTTCTAAATAATTATGATTTGATTATCAATATTAATATCTTAACATGATAAAAACGACTGTGGTGTTATTTCTCAAAATCATAACGTCCTGGTACTACTACTTCTATTGCTGCCAGTTGACAAACCAACTCTTACATACACTCGCCTTGATCTGTAGCGAAGTTCGGGTCTACGTTGGATAACGGAACTTCTCTCTGCAGACTTCTCTCTTTTATATATGTTGTGAGGAAGGGATTATTTTCCTTTTGCGAATTATCATCGGCGATCGCTTTCAAACTTTCCATACTTCATGCGATCAGCCTTAGCTGACATGTAATCAAGTTCATCTCGTACATTCCAATGCATCGCGCAAGATCGCCATATAGAATTTTAAAATTCGATCTTCGATGGCGACCAAAAAACCAGCCGATGTATCCATGCACTTTACATCTTCTTTAAAGGCGACAACTGGCAGGTGTTGAGCGTTTTAAGTTTCAGGAATCTATTGAAGCGAAACCACATTGGAATTTCCGTAAAAGGAACGCGCCATTTTTTCAAAGTTTACAATACCAGAAAATCTATCACTAGGCATGCGCAAGAATAAATCCGCTGACTACCGTAATTGTGGTTCCAGACATGGCGAAAGTAACTTCGAAGGAACTCGGAGATTTTTTGAAGAAGGAGCTTAAATGCGAAAAATGTGAATCTTTAGGCTTCGCTAGTGGTGGCTGTATAAGTGAGGGACAAAGTTTTGACATTGACAATGGGAAGATTTTTGTCAAATTGAATACCAAGTCGCAGGTATTGCTGTTCGTAAACAATGATCCGGGGAATCACCTTTCCTGAAACTTGCGAGTCGAAACAGATCGATAGTTAATTATGCTTTCTTTCAGGCGAGAGAAATGTTCGATGGTGAATTCCAGAGCCTTGAAGAAATTTATAGGACGGATACTTTGCGTGTACCCAAGCCAATAAAGGTTTCCTTTTATTTTAAACTAATTTAATTTTTTATGGTTTATATTTCACAAATCGTACCATGCATTTTGTTTTCATCAATTTTATTTAAGTATTAATAATATACATGAAAAAATTTCTCAGTTCCGATTGATTAAGGTGAATGCAGTTTTCAGTTAATTCAGTGCAGAAGAGAGTTAATGCAGTGCAGAAGAGGGTTAATTCAGTGCAAAGAAAGAAACAAATCAGACATTCTGATTGGTCAGAATGATTGGTCAATGTCAAGGTCAATGTCACTTGCAGGGTTTGAATAAATTATTTTTGC